TTAGGAAGCATTCGTGTAAAATAATTGAGAACATAATCTTATAACGTTAGCGCCAAATATAACTAAGTAGTTATATTATTTGAAATCGACTCCATTGTCTTCTGTAGACAATTATAAGAAATACATGGCAGTAACTTCTTTACTACTTTACTATTGTACTGATATTTAAATTAAATGTAAGATTCAAGACGTAAGTCCTGTCTCATCCCTCCATCGCTGCAAAGCATTGAGTTGACCAATTATTATATGAATCGTAAATTTACAACTCATTTTCATCTGTTTTTCGGTATCACAAAAGGTAACCTGACGGAAACAACCTTAATTCGCTATAGCAATAACATAATTGTTTATTTGGGAGTCTGTTGCCAAGCAACGGCTACCCAGATATCATTGAATTTTGGATTAGATATCACTCTTAAGTAGAATTATTTCATTACATGTTCTTATATATAAAAAAAAATTATTTTACCTCGAAGAATATCTAACAGACGAATCAGCGAGCTGAAACTAGTTTTAACATGTATACTAGATGGATGTATACGGGTACACTAGCAAACGAAACCGATTCCACCATCTCAGGTGGTCGTATCGGGACAATTTCAAGTCATTTGTCTCGGTGTAGCAACATTGTTGCAATAACGTACCGCACTCCATTTACACTCCTCGCAATTTGTGTCAGATTCACGCGCACTTTTGTCTTACTATAGTTCCTCTGTCACTACACTCGAGCACTTCGCGATGATTTGGATTCACTCGAGGGGTAACATTTTTAGTATGCGAGGAATTCAAGAACAGTCGCTAAAAGCGCACTCGTCTCCGCTTTTACAAACTGAAAGTCTCAAATAGAATATTGCAAAACTATTTACTCATATGCACTCGTACATTTGTGTGTGTAACAAAGACTTCCTTCACTTTATGTTTGGTGAGTTTCGTTTTGGAATAATACGTATCGCAAACCGCGTGCCAATTGTAAATAATATCGTTCTCCACGCAACATTAATATAGAGGCGGCTGTGCGCGAGGGCACGTCGTTGCTTTATATCTTTTCGTTTCCGTTTTGTAAAATTTCGCCCCATAACATTATGTTGATAGCCGCAATAACGCTTGAAATATTTACGAATATCCTAACAAACGAGGCGCGCGGTGATAAATAGATGATACTCGTGCTGGATTGACCGTGTCGGAATAAAGATTAGTTGGTACGACCGCAGAACTCACGAACGATACATTTCTCACTGCACAACGATTTGTCCGCAGCCATTGGATCTGTTCTGTTTTTATTTCTTTTGCAACGCTATCTTGTTCTTTGTTAGAGCTTATATTTCGCTGGAATATGGACGCGATCGAAGACTTTATATTAAATATTGTGTTCTTTTTATGTTACAATGGGTAAATATTGACTGAAATCACAAAGATATAGGTAAGATTGCTAACTATCTTTAGAGTTGCTTAATAATTTTATATTCTGTTGAAATTTTTTATCAAAATCATCAAATCAAAATCTTCTAAAATATTAATTCATTGTGTTGTGTAGTTTAAAAAACCAACGACTGTCTGTCTGTGGAGCAGTTAAATTCATTTTAAAGTTCGAATAAAGACGTATTGTAATGTATCTCAACAAGATCGAGTAATGTATAACGGAAATTTCTTAGGAATTCGTAAAACTCGTAAAATATTTCTATTTATATTATTTACATGCGTATTTGATTTCTTTTAATGGTAATTACATTATAATAGTAAAAGATGACAACCGTTAACCAAAGGGGAAACAGTCCTTTAAAACTTCAACACCAGCAGCTTAGGCACGTTTTGTGCATCGAAAGCCCAGTAAGTTTCATATGTAAATAGAGGAAAAAGATTACATCAAATTTCTGACCGCCGGAACGAGAGATTCTGTAATGTCGATAACACAATAGTCACCATCACAAATTGCATCGAGCCATCGCCGCGTGAGAAAATGCCAGTCGTGCGACAAACTAAATGAGAAACCTTGGTCCTCGCCAGGGATTTTTTACGTCCTCTCAGCAATATCACTGAGCGTGCTCCTTCGTTCATTAACAATGAATTTGACGGCGGCTGGCGGCGCGAAGACCCTCTCATCTCGGATTATATCAGATCCGAATCCCGGGTGTAACAATACGGTCCACTTGTCCCACCTTGATTCGGGCGGTGCTCATTTCGCTATTCACAAACTGCTGAGACACACTGTATCAACAATACGGTTCTTATTAGTCCTCTGGATATGATATCGTTAAACTTCATATTGCTTCTACTTCGGACCGTAGTGTTATTAAACGAGTTATTTAATTCAATAGGAAAATTATACCCAATTGAGGCGCGTGTTACGCGTTTGGGGTGAAAACTGATCCATAAATTAATTTTCATAGTGTCAGGATTTGCCTGATTGTTGTAGAAGTAATCCTGCCTATCGGTAAAGCTGCTGGAGTTGGTCTTAAAATAAACCACTTTTACACAAAAAAAAAAAATTTCCTGTGTACAACCTTTAGTTACACGTCAATGCGAGGGAGTTCAGTATATAAGTATGAATAGTATATAATTGCCACGCATAAAAATAATTTTAATGTTGCCAACACAGTGTTTTTATCTTGCACACATATATTGATTACAATCTTCAATATATATAATAATTACTATGTTAATACGAAGGTGCTATTTTTGTATTATTTGTAATGTTAAATTTATTTTCGATAGCAATAATTTGATTCATCATTCGTAGCAGCAGTGTGTATTATACTGGTCAGCAACAATCGCCTCTGGACAAGTCAATAAACGAAGACCCTAATTAGTTGAGGATACACTCTAACATCAACCCAATTAAAAGTTGAAAGTTGGAACACCTTATATTAATAAAGTTACAGCCGGTAGGACAATGAGTGAGTTTTGAAATTATTATTTAAATTCCTCTTCAATAAACTTAAACAAACTATAATAAAAAAATTAAACAACAAACTATAGAATTAAGTTGAAATTAGCCACTGTTTTATTTATTTTTCAGCCAATTCTTAATAGCACGAAAATCACCATAATCTTTGTGGTATAACGACAGCAATAAAATAAACAACATTTAGAACTTTGCGGAAATGGAAAAACATGAATATTTTTTTTTTATTATAAGGCACCTGATAAAGGAAATCATGAATTCGTGTTTGCGAATACATGCAAAGTCACGACGCCAATTCGGCCCGGCGCGATTTCCCACAGGACCGCGCCGACAAGGAGATATCTAATTACAAATTCGATGAGGCCAATAAATATTCCGACGGATCCGAATTTGCATAATGCCGCCAACGCAAGCTAACGTACAACTTTTAACAAGCAAACCAAACTCGTATTGGAAATACGTGGAACATGCAATCGACCGGCTGAATTTGTTATCGTACGAAATGGGAGATGTATTTGTGAAACTGTCATTTATGCACAAACATCAAAGGATCCGTGGTCGGGGAGCAATTTCGATGTCAAAATTGATAGTTAAAGAAGCCCCTTATTAAGTAACATCGAATAAGGCAATTTTGTGGACAAAGGGATGACCCTCATAGCGAGCGCGTACAGCCGCCTGTAGGCGATGTAAAAGTTTCCAGTTGGCGGCCGGGACCGCCCTTACCGTTCCAATTTATTGAATTTCATCCCGAGTATGAGGGATGACCACACGTTTATTGTTCTGTCGAGCATTGATTAGGGTGGAATATTGTTTCGTATACAAAGAGTCCACTGCTCTGCTGTCAGAGGAATAGTTTATTCGAAGCGTTCGGCTTTATTTAAAATTATCTGTCCAAAAATTACCTCTAACTTTACATTTATCTTATTTATAAAGATTATCTTAGAATTGTATTTTATGTATTACGTATACTCGTGAATGAGAAAAAAAATTGACAACAATTTCGAAAAATTTAATAATATGACCAAAATTTCCAAAGCCAATTAAGTAGGATAATAATTGAGTTATGTTAGTTGAATTTATTTATGGCTAGAATTGTATGAAACAATTATTTTTATGCTAGAATATTAATTAATGTGGAATATTTTATTTACACAAGACAAAATGGATGGAAATAATAAACATTATCTTATAAATACTATTATTAACTTATTTATAAAATACGCAATGCGACTTCCTTGCAATGAACGAACTAACAAGTTTATCGCTTTTAATTACATACTTGACATTTTTATTTGTATGCCTAAATGATAGCTAGAAGCTAAAGCCAGCTTTTGTCACAACATACATTAAATTTCCAAATACATTGTACCAGTTGCGTAGAACAACGTAAGTTTTAATAAATAATTAATATAACTAATTTTTAATGCAATAAACCACAGGTATAACCTTAAAATTCCAACCCCAAAAATGATTGTTAGGGGAAAACCGTCCAACACGCCAATTTGTCTGTTGACCAGAGGGGCTTTTCAATAACAATTCCTCGGCAAATTCTGTCTCTGACCACGTCCGTCGATGGATAGCGAAAATTAACTACAATATTGCTTTTTTGACTGCATTCCCTGCATAGTTTCCTTATGGGCAATCGCTTTTAGGTTATTTCACAAATAAAAAAAAATTGTGGGGAAAATGGTGGAACATTGGTTTCAAAAGAAAAATATTTCCAAGCGAAATTATCTCATAATTTTTTTTGTTTTAATTAAATTAATTGAAACATGGTAAAAACAATTGATCTTATTGTACAAAATTAAGCGATCTCTCGTAAGTTTATTATTACTTTGTGAATTATCTTATTTTTTATTAATTGGACTGTTTTATCCTTCAAACAATTTCAACATAATTTTAAACGCGTTGAAGTCCGTTAAATAATTTAATTGGCCACTTAAACAAAGTTGAAGTAACTATTACTTAAAACATCAACTCTTACACAATATGAATTTATACTACACAAACTTCTAACCCTAATGCCTATTTTATTATTTCATAGGTTAGTTGTTTGTTGCTATGTTTAAGTCCGAGGTTCATCAACCTTTCCAACACTATGTCTGCGGAGATTTGTTATTGTAATGTCAGCAATCTGTCGCTTGGCCAACGTATAACTCAAGACAGCGATGAAAACGACGAGAACAGGTAATGGCGGCTATGTTAGCCAGTTTGTAGTGAATTCTCATACATCTCCATCTCCATAAATCTACCTTTTTTGAAAGAATTATCGTAAGAACACTAATTAATGAGTAAAATCATTATATTTTATCTAACCTAAAATCAGCCTTACCTTTTCAGCGTTACCTTAACTTTTGATACTATCGAGTACTCATTGAAATAGGTAATTGTTTACAACGATTTTTAAACTAAAAGTTCAATTAAGAAATGTCACTAATGAATTAATTCATGAGTTAAAATCTATGGAATCAACTAATTTACGAGAAAAAATAAAAAATATTTAAATTAATTTACGAAAAAATAAAAAATATTTAAATTAGCTATCGAATAGAATAACGAAACAAACCTACTAGTTACAGATTAATAAATTTCACATAATAAACTTTAATCCTTTGTGGTATGTAATAAAATGGCAAGAGAGCTGGCGGTTCGACTAATGTTTATAATAACCGCCGCCTATGGACATAGGTTAGCTGACAACCGATAAAAAAGTTGGGCACCGGTTGCCTCACTAACCAGACGATACGCGAAAATATAATAATTCCACTTCACGCCGTTCCTCAGTGTGGCCGTGGTACTTTACCGGATGAGCCTGTAGATTCATGCAACAGTAGGAGCTACTGCGTGGACGTACCACAGCTAAATAAAAACAAAACTGAATTCAAACATCTCACTAACTATACATTTTGTATTTGATGTTGTAACATAATGTATTTCATTTAAGAAAGGGATGAATGAAAGGGATGAAGGGATGAAATGAATCAAGGAATCCAATTTCCATTATCATTGAAATGAATATGGGACCACCTCGATAGTACACCGTTTCAAAAAAAAAAACTTCAAAATCTAACATTGAATAAAATATGTGTACTTATACAGTAGAACATAGAACCTCCTCTTTTTTAATGTAAATCAGCAAAGAATCGAAAACAGGTGCAGAGCTGTCACTAGTAATAAAATTATTAACATTTCATATTATGTTACTATCATTTATAAAAACAAAACACGTAGTCGTATTAAGGCAGCATTAAAAATTCTTATATTTACAGATCTAATAAAGATTCAAAACTAAGTCACGTAATTCCAACAAGCTGTTCAACTCCGCTTATTTTTTTAAATTAATCACGTCCAGTTTTCTACGTTTTCATTTACTAAAAGATACTATCTTATTAAAGTTAGAAGTTTAGCCACATTATTCACGGGCGTGGGTTGGTCCCGTATGATTCCCCGCGCGTAATAGATGCGATAAATTAGAACAACTTTATTGCTTATTAAAGTAATAAATAAGTCTGATGATTGATATGTACTCTTACATATATATTTCAATAGTTCCAAACGTATGAGAATAGCACATGTAAATAGAAGTTATGTTTGTTGGTGAAGGATCGTCTGACAAGTGATCAATTCCCAACAGTTTATAAATAGCAGACCATGGGCAAATCCAGCTGTAAGGATTAATATAAGCTGATGATGATAGTAAGTATGAGCGACGCGTTTTCACTTAAATTTATTTACCATCTGATTTCATATGGAAAACTAACTGTTATAACTTTAAGTCCCGCTCCCTAAACTCTTACCTATAAAATTTTAAAAAAGTCCTGGTGTAGGTGGATTACACCATTCTTTTCTTCATAGAAATATATTTTTGACTATCGTTAATATGATTTTATTATGTTTTAGGAAATTTTTCCAAATTTTACACAGATTTTTTTTTTGTCTAACCTTAATATGTAGTCGAAGGCGTAAAATTAAATATACAACGAAAAACAACTAGTAAAAGAAAACCTGTACATAAAGAGACCTCTCGAGAGAATGCGTAATTTTATTTACTGCAAAAGTGCTCTTATTCCTTTGTTGCGCCTGGAATAGTTCTCATTTTCTATATTGTCTGTTTTAATTAGTAAAAGGACCATACTTACTACAGTTCTCTCCAGCGGCTTACTACTAACAATAAGTACCTGTACACTACAAGAGTCGCTTGTTTACATTTCTAATTACAAGTGATTTAAATACAATGCGAAGTTTTAATTAGAATCATTTTTGTGCGAAGCCGCTTTGCCTACATTGATAAGTAGAGTTTCTTATTGAGGTACTGAATAAGAAACTCTACTTTTCTCAGTTTCGGTATGAACACAAAACACTATATAAAATAATCAATGCTACAATCAAGTGAGTAAAGAATACCTTTCAATAAATTTAAATTTAGAATTGTGTGATTAACAAAAAAAATATTTTATTGTAGAAAAGAGTGGGGAGTTTTTATGATATTTTCATTATAACTCTTCTTTCACCAATATCTGTCATTAAAATATTATAACAATTAACTACAAGTATCCCAAGCTTTTCTACAATAAACGATTTTTTAAATCTCTCTTTTTTAGATTCACAATTAGGTCCACTACAATTTTTTTTTTTTTAGTACTAAGTTGTCGAATTTAAGTCCTGTGTACAGGACAACGTCTGTGCGGTCCGCTAGTAATTATATAAATTATGTAATAAAAGATAAAGACCACCGATTCCACCCAAAGATCATTCCTCAGATGAATCAGTATCTGGGGCCGGTGAGAACCACCCTGGAGAGTACCTTGAGTACGGGTTGTGTTGGTTACGCCGAGCTCGTAGTAGAGGGCAAACTAATAGGTTATATATGTTAACACTATGTAAAGGTATAGTTTAGCGGGCCTCTAGGTGGGACCGACGTACCTTTGTTCCCTTCTACAAACTGATCGTGGACGATGTTGCGCGGGCGACATTTGTGAACGGTCACTTTTGTGTCTTGACGGTGATTCACTGTGTTTACTATCACAGAAGTCGAATCGTTTTCAGCTATTTTTCATGAACCGTTTGTTTAGCTCAGAAATGTTCGCGTAGAGTCGGAAGTCTATGCAGCGTTACGCTGATACCACATAACGCCGGTTGCGAAGCGGATGAACTGATTTTGAATGACTAGAAGTTTTTAAAGGGGTTTGGGATGGACGTGGGCAAAAGACATGCAAGCGTAGGATACTATAGGTTTGGTCTTATAAAGAAAGCTTATGGATCCCTTAATTTATAAAATTTGACCCAGACTTTTTTACGTAAATCGCAAATTTAAAAGAGAATTCATTATACGTTTAAAAGCTTCACTGAACATAGTAAAGTATTACTTTACCTTTAAAGTATTACCTTGTGTACAAAGGACGTAAGGTGACAAAAAAAAATCAAATCTTTCTGTACAAAAAATGATAAAGAATATCGAGTCTCCGTATCTGCACAGTAAAATACTTTTGGGAGCCGGCAGGAGGGAATAATTAAGATGCAGTACAAAGAACAAGCCGTGTTGAGAAAAACATAATCTTTTATTGTCACTCGTTGTTATAGAAATTTGTCAATAATAGGGTAATGCTAGACCGATGAGAGTAAGGGTGTAAAAGATAAGAGCGGTGCTACACAGTAGCAAATGAGTCGCCACATCACCCCCCTACGGAGAAAAATAAGTACACATTGAAGGCAAAACAAGTATAAAATGTAACAATCAAATAATTATACACTGTTATTATAAAAGTACAAGCAACATTATTTAGGATAATTTTTAACTAATGGAATTTTAATTTATACAACGAAAAAATAAACATTGGAAACTTAAAATAGAAAAAACTCTGCTTTAACAAAAATAACGTATTAAAAAACTAGTACTTATAAATCTAAAATATCTTTAAATTTAACTTTGCGACCTGACCGGGTTGTTACAGGCTGTGCGGGCGTTTTAATGGGCACGGCCGTTTGGCTAATAGGAGGTGAAAGAGTCGGAAGGACTGGGGGCTCCGGTGCCAAGTTGTTAGGGGACGGATTGCCGTCTGGGTCAGGTGCAATATACGCAGGTTTTGTTCTGTCGATGCTAACCTCAGATCTTCGGCCAGAAATGTCTAAGGTAAGTGTCTTTTCAGATCTCTTCAACACTCTGTAGGGGCCTGTATAGGGTGGCTGTAGAGGGCGTCGAACGGAATCTTCGCGGAGGAACACGTGAGTAGCATCAGGTAAGTCCTTGAAAACGAAAGTTTTAGAATTCGTGTGACGTGATGCTGGAACGGGGCGAAGTTCTGCCATCCGTTTTCGCAACTGTGCAACAAAATCATCGTCCACGGTCTGAGGGGAATTGCTAGCCACCAGGAACTCGCCTGGTAGGCGTAGCGGTTCCCCATACAAAACTTCTGCAGCTGACGTTTTGATGTCATTTTTTAGTGCCGCCCTGATTCCGAGAAGAACGAAAGGTAGGGCATGGTACCAAGAACTCCTGTGACACATTAAAGCGACCTTTAAATGGCGGTGGAAACGCTCTATCATCCCATTAGCTTGGGGATGATAGCTCGTAGTACGAACGCGTTTTGTGGCTCCTAAATCCATTAGTCTGTTGAAAAGTTGGGACTCAAATTGACGTCCCTGGTCCGTTGTGACAGTGATCGGTACACCAAAGCGAGCGATCCAGCCGTGGGTGAATTGATCAGCGACTTCTACTGCGGTTATCGACGACATGGGCCAAACTTCGGGCCAGCGTGAGAAACGGTCTACTGCTGTTAGGCAATAAGTGAATCCGTTTGAAGAAGGCATCGGTCCAATAATGTCCAGGTGAACATGACGAATCTGCCTGAAGGTGTGCTAATGTTGCCAAGCGGTGAAACGACATGGCGCGTAACCTTGCTGCTCTGGCAGGCGAGACACTCGCGTGCCCAGGAGCGGCAGTCTTTAGCAATGCCTGGCCAAACATAGCGGTCGCTAACGAGGCGCGCGGAAGCGCGTGGAGCTTGGAGCTTGGCGGCTTTGGGAAGAAATTGGCGGTAATAATTTACCATCCCCAGGAAGCGTCTCAAACCTTGAGCTGTTTTGGGAAGCGATAACTTGCGGAGAGCAGCGATCTTCTCTTGAGGTGGGCAGATACCATCCTTGGTTATCTTATAACCTAGGAAGATTACCTCACATGTCCTCAATAC